CAAAACTTATATTAATTAATAATAAAATTTAGTATAATTATAATGAAACAAAGAAAATGAAAAAAGAAAAAAAGCATGTACACTATCAGCATAGAGCCACATTTACAACCGGTACAGGACCAAATTGCAAATGAACCCCTAAACCATCGCAAACATGCATAAGCCTGGCAACCGATAATAATTAACAATAACTCATTTTCCAAACGTAACGACTTTTTAAGGATAAAAGCTAGTTTAAGTACGACATAGGTAAATCGCGCGTATTAAGCAATGTTGCTTTAATGGACTTTAAAGAGTCCGATAACGAGAATAAGTGGTAGACGTCATTTAGGTTCTTGCAAACGACTCTGAGCGGATTAAAGAGCTCATAATTAAATTTACACTGACTAAGCTTAACCAAGATAAAGTTCCTAGAGAAGCGACATTAAAGCTTATTTCACCAAGTAATGAAGGCGAGTCAATGGCACCATTTATTAATTTAATTAGAAAGGAAACGCCAAGAACAAACCTACATTTCTCAAGAGATGGTAGGGACAGCAGAAGCAACCTATTTTCATACGGAGGAAGAGAGGCAATCGGATCCCAACCCAAATTTCTAAGGGCAAACAGCAAGAATTGCTTTTGAACAGATTCAATTGAATCTACGTAGCACCTATATGAAGGAGACCACACAACTGAGGCATACTCGAGTATGGGTCTAACCAAACACATGTAAAGTCTTTTCGTAATGTAGGGATCATCAAGCTCTTTGCACCACCCCTTTATAATAGCAATGTATTTGATAGCCTTTCCCATGTGTACTTTATACGTATATATGGCGTCTTATAATCATAATTGGTCGGATTTCTTTACATTCCTCTTTAGCTTGGTATCTAGTCCCCCAATCTATATCATATTTAGCATAAGTAAAATTACTTTTGGACTAAAAGTAAATAAATAAATAAATAAATATAACTGTACTCTGCATGTAATTATAAGCTTATTACCAGTATATTGTCTTAAGCTCTGCTCTGTAAAGTTCCTAACACATTAGCTCAATTAAATAGTTCACATAGTTCCACGGCGACTAAAAAACCCCACAAGAGCACATATGAAAATAGTTGTGAAATGATGTAAATGAACTAACATAGTTCTTTTGAGAAAGCCCTTTGGTAAATGCTTGAAAATCGAAAATAGGCGAACTGGAAAGTGCCCATCTTCGCATATATCAGACGAATCTATATGAAAATATCTTTCAGACAAGTTAAGCAAGTGCAAACGTTTTCTTTTGCTATTTAAAATAATTTTCAAAACTTACTATCTTAACACAAAGCGCTTATGGGGAGACAGTCAAGATTGAATATGTCACATAGTATCACCGAATCTGTATTAAAAAAAAACCTTTTAAACGAGTTAGTTAGACAAATCTTTCTTTTCATGATCAGTCACTATCTCTGTCTCTCAAGATAGATTCTCTATATGTGTATGTGTGTTTTTTTTTTAAATTTTGTGGAGTCTAAAGCTATAATGTCATAGTTAATCTCTTCAGGGACGATGTTTTTTTGACAATATTTTCATACCGCTAATTATACACGTAAATACGTTCGCAAATGCATCAAATTTGGTAAGATTTGCAGTTTTTCTATTGACAGATGTTGCATTGAATAATTTATTAAACAGTTTTTGTTCTTTGCATTAACGATAGCAATTAAAATTAAAAAAAAAACTGTAAATGTCTATATACGAGGCCAAGAGGTTTAAAGTCTAACCTAAGGTTCGCTATATTCACTTGCAGCTTCTTTGTTATGTCTTATTGTGTGACGGACTTGGCGAGAATACATTACGAACACTTGTATTTTATAAGATCTCCGAAATTTTCTTGTACCGGTTTCTAGTTTCAGAACGAGATAGAAAAAACATGTCTATAACGGACCACCACTTAATGCCCTACACCGCTTCATGAAATACAGTTATATTGTACAATACACAGAACGACTTTTCGGAAGAGAGCGTTACATGGGAAGTGGTCCGCTCGATTTCATTTTTAATAGCTTTTGTCCTTGGGCCGAAGCATTTTCATGCAACATATTTGGTCAAAACATTTCAAAAATTGAGGCCTGTAGCTTGATTGCAAAGATGTTAAGTGGACAGACGGACAGACAAGCGATCCTGAATTAATTAATAAAAGATGGGTCTACAACTAATGCTTGTAGGTATCGTATACATCCCCACAAATTTGGTATGCACTTGTTCTACAAGGGGTCCAGGATATAATAAAGGTCAGAAGAGCATGTATCTGGAATAATCTAATGCTCAAGGCATAGAAAATTATTTCAAATCTTCAAGAACACTTCAGAGATACAAGAAGTATTAAAATTGTACATAGTTGTTACAATCCCTCACCAAATTGACTGCGAACATCCGTTAGGCGAGGATAGCTACGTTCATCTTTAGGTTCAAACCTCTACTTGTATGTTGCGAACCAAACAGCCTACCCCTAGTCTTAGAACTTTTTATTAATTCCTATAAAACATCTTTAAGAAGCCAGAGATAATGATGTAATTAATATTTTACGCATGATTTCTTTACAAGTGACGTGCTACCCATTCATACTATGAAGATTATACTTCGAAAGGCACAATTAATGTTTTGTCATAGCAAAGATGGTAAGAAAGCATGCATAATTAAGATTCTCTCATATAGCCTGAAGTTTTTTAGAGTCCCACTTTATTTTCATAGTTTTCGTTTACAAAAGTTTTCCAACTATTTGTTATTTGTTCAGGTGGAGAGAGAGGGAGAGCTAATTATATTAGTTGTTATATGGACTCGTATACTAAACATAAATGTATAGAAACTACGGGCACGTATGATAATACGATGATGAACGCTCGTTTTCCACCTTTACAATATGAGTTCAACAGAAATTATTTGGTGAAATTATATGTTTTGAATGCAAATTATATTCCAAATTAAAAAAAAATACAAAAAACCAAACACGTTTAACATACACCCATCCCTCATTTTGCATATAACCGTTAAAAAAAAAAAAAAAAAGAAAAGAAAAGTAATAAGCCTTTTCCATTTAAATTAAATAAATAACTTTGTATTTTTTTTTTTTTTTTTTGCTTTTAGGCTTGAATTCAATATATTGCTAACTCCAAAAATGCTCACAAATTTTCTCTTATTGGCCAGAATAAACGAGTTATATAAGTTTAGAAAAAACTAGTGGCAAAGGCAAATTAAGTTCGTGCGTTTACGTACAGCACTCGGATGGAATTGCCGTAGATTTACCTTTTATTATAACAATCTTAAGCATGTCTGTCCGACTATCCGTACGATGTCCATTCATGCATTTTTATATTTCATCCTACGAGTTTCTAAGGTATTTAGATGAAATTTAACATATTTTGACCTAAGAACGAAATATTGTTAAAAATGAACTGGTTTCGACCATATTTACCACTAAGCCCTTATCCCCCTTAATGGCAGACTTAATAAAGTGTTGCATGAAAAAAGTTTGTAATTTTTAGCATTTCTCGGCAATGAAGATCAATGAAGAGCAATCTCTTGGCATACTAAACGGCTGCAGAAAATATAGATCTAATGGGGCCATTTTTTGCCCGTCCTCCCGTAGAAGCGTTCTTACAAATAACTAAACTTTATTAGGTCATAAAACTTAACCGTTAGTGTTTTACGGAAAAAGGTTGATACCCATACGAGTGATTTGACAAATAAATATCGTTTGGCAAATTTGGACAACCTAGGTTTACTTTGTGGATCCCATCCCACAGAAAAGTTCCCGTGACATATAAGCCCTTAACATGTTAACAAGGTCTAATATTTGATGTTTCATGAAGGCAATGGGTGCAAAATGAAAATTTCTTCAACTAGGAGCTTAATTTTATTGAATTTAAGTGACTTCGGCTCATGTATTGGACTCCTTTTCCATAAAAACACTTTGATAACAAACAAGTTTTGAAATAATTTTTTATATTTTGTGAAGAAAATGAAAGAAGACTTATATTGTGGTGTATGATAATTGATAGTCGGCCTTGTCCGATTCTAACGTTTGAATTCTTTTATTGGCCTGTTCTCTGAGGAGGATAATGTAAAGTTTTGCGAAAAATTAACATTTTGATTACAAGTGTAGTCATAAACAAGCAATTCAAACTTAACAGCACCAATCAAACAACAGTCGTAAGACCTTGTAGTATACAGATAATAATTTATGGTAATAAATATGTTTAAAATGCATGCGTGAATGTTCCTTTCTGCTACTTTTATAGTCACTGCACAGATTTTACAATGGTTAATACATGCTTATGGCTTTTTACATTAGATTTAAAAAGAAAACAGTCAACTTATAGCCTGTTCTTTAATTTAAGATCGGAGAAATACCGTCAATATTTTAAAGTATTGATTAAGCAATTAAAAACATTATAGTTGGGGAAGGCTCTACACCACTTCTGACAATTCAACCTTTCATATGTTTTCATGATAACGCAACAAAGACTTCACGTTGTGTCCATGCAAACGAATATTTTTAATCGGAGTCCTTGAAAGAGGGCTCAGAACACTGATGGTCCAAATTCAACAACAATAATCTTTATCACTATATACCTGCTTTAGCCGTAGAAACTAAAAATAAGACTTTGTCATCCGTTATATACGTAGAATAGAGCTATGCAGTCCAAATTCGGTAGGGTTAACTCCTATGTCAAATTATTATTATGAAGAAACTTTTACTAGGAAATATTAAATATTAGACCTTTTTATCATCAACGTTTATATAATAAACATATACTCGTCGTGCATCGATCACACTTTAGTCGAACTAGTGTCGCTTTTTTACTTTCTGTGGTGCCTACGTATAACTTAATCAGCGATTTCTCGGGTAAGCAATTTTCAAATGATCGCATCGTAAGATGCAAATCAGGTGATCGGTATAATTTCAGCTTCGTTTATACGAACATCTAATTGAGCATTAAAATATTGGAAAACATTCACGTAAATATACTTACGTTTGATTTTTATGGCAATTTTCGTGTAATCCATTGTCGTCGTTAGCGATATTATTTTTATTTTCTTCTTTGAATCGGAAATTAATATCATGTGGATCTTTAAATGGTTTAACGTTACGCGGTAAACTGCGGTTACGTAAACTTAAGTTTAAAAATTCCAAGTCATTGTCATTCAATTTTAAATTTTGCGTTGGGCACGTTTTTCTGCCAGAGTTCGTTTGGAATCGTTTTGGTGGCAATGCAGGTTTCTCTTCCTGGTCCTGATCAGTGGAAATGGTTGATTGTAGTTCGGAATTTACCTCAGCTTCATTATAATGAAGATTAAAATATTTAGTTACATGATCAGCGAGACTAGGATTTGGATGATTTGTTTGGGAACCGCGCACTAAGTCGTCTAAGTGATCTTCATCAATGCCGAACAGAAAAGGATCATCGAGTAGGGTATGTTTGGCGTTCTGCTTAACCGCTTCTGGTTCACAATCGTTTGTGTGCTGTAGCTGTTGTTGTTGTTGTTTGTGTTGTTGTTGCTGATACTGTTGATGGTTGATGTTGAAATTTTTTAACATTTGGTGCAATTGTTTCGTAGTTTTCTTTTGCTTTTCGGTTTCAGCGTCCTTGCGATGTCCTCGCAATGATCGTAAAAGTCTTTTGCTTCTTCGCAAAGCATTACCCACTTCAAGTTTTGTCGGTTCACTTAAGGTCTCACATTTCAAAGGGAATAAACTAACTGAAGTTGGTGGTTGCTGTTGTTGTTTTTGTTGTTGTTCTTTGGTGCTTACAGCATTAATATTTTCATGTAGTGTCGCCATCTTATCGCCGGCTGAATCTTGGGTTTCATCGTCTAATTGTGTTTCGATAAAATCGACAGCAACCGCATCATATTCGGACTCGATAGCCTCGATGTTGTTACTGTCATTTTCATTATTTAAAGCACTTGTTGCTAATGATGATGCTATTGCTGTTGTTGTTGTTGTTTTTGTTGTTTTTGCTGATGCTGCTGCCGCTGCCGCTGCTGCTGCTGCTGCTGCTGCAATTTCTTGCTTTGCCGCCGCTGATAATGCCAATCTTTGGGCTGCTGCTTTACTATAAACTTGTCGATAATATTTCTGCTGATCGCCATACAAAAAGCAAACACGCCACCATTGTTTGCATGCCAGCAAATTGGCGGTACGTGGTGGTAGTACCACGGGCTCAATTGATGATGACATGCTCTCCATATTGTTGTAGTTATTTCTTGTGTCTTTAATATGTTTTCTTTTTTTCTTATTGTTATTCGCTTCTTTTTTTTTTTTTTATTATTTTAGTTAGTGTTGTTTTTGCTTTATGTGGCGTTATTGTTTTATTATACCTACTGTAATATACCCTTTTCGCTCCAAACGAAATCAGAAATCAACAGCAGTTGTTATTAGCGTTGCTAAGTTTCTTGTTCGATTTTATTTTGTTATAAAAATTGTGCTGTTGTTACTGTGCTGGTTGTGCTGTTTGTTTAAATTTCTGTGGTAATTATTTTCAATTTGTTTTCTCTTCGCTCTTGGCTTTGCGTTGCAATTCTTATTTTATTTCTATTTATTTTTTCGCCCCTCTTTTTTTCTTTTTCTTAATAGGACAAACTAATAAGTTTTATGATTCCATGACATGATATCTTCAGGTTTTTTGTCTACCTTTGAAGAGAGAGAGAGAGAGAGAGAGAGAAAGAGGTAAACTTACATTTGCACTCCATAATTTACTTTGCCTTCTGTTTTCTTCTTTCCCTCTTTTCCTCTTAACATTTAATGTCGATGCAAATTGTTTGTGGCTATTGCTTTGGGGTTATTTAAAAGAATTTAAATCAATTTTAGGTCTTTTCAGTTACTTCTTTATAACACAGAGACGCTTGCAATACAAAACTCAATATAGATTTCCCATAGTGTGTTCAATCAATGCCAGCCCTTTGTTTTTATTAATTTTCAAATTAAAATTATTTGCGGCTTGGAAATTATTGATCTTAACATAAAGATTGCTTTCCATTGGCAACTAAGACGGGCTACGGCATAAGATGTAATTTTTAAAATCTTCCTCATATCGTGCCGGGAAAAAAAAACCGTTCAAAACAAGCTACCAACCAGTTATAGCATTTTGAACAGCGCTTTGCAAACTCTACGTAATATGTGTAAAGGTTGCCTTACACTTGATCTCGATTCAATACGAAGACCCAGGGTGCATAAAATAACTTTCATAAATTAAAAACAGACTTACGGGACACCTCCCATAAGTAGAAAAAGTCGCGTTAAAAAGGAAAAGTCATTAGAAACAATTTGAAAATCAGACCTGGTAGCGCAATAATTTCCACATCAATTTTTGAACTCTTGAAAGGAAGGAGAACGATTGTCTTGTCTTACTGGTGACATATCTCAATCAAATAAAACCTACGGCAGCGTACCTCAGCAAATGCGTTGTGGCATTTACCAGCCCACAGTACACTGCTGCTGGGTTTACTAAATGGAGTATGATCTTGGAGTCGATATTTAATATTAAGCCCCAATCTCACACCATGTCTTTCCCGCTTCGCAATTTCATCGTATATTTATTTTCTATCACTCATCACGGTTTGACACTTTCCTTCAATTTAAAGAAGGCAAGAGGATCTCTCTAAAGAAATCTGACCTATTGTAAACGTCAAGTTAAAACTTTACAATTGGGCAGGAAGGACATTGTGTCAGTTGAACTGACACAATTTTTTTGCATTGATTCGAAATCTTCAACGGCTCCGAATCACATGCTTATCAAGAACATTTACATGTCATGTATTGTTGCGTTGGATATGAAAAGCATTTAATACTTACCTTGCTCTTAGGAAAAGAAAGGTTAAGTTAATTCGACAGTTCTTCAAGAAATTTTTGGGATAACGATATTACGTATATTGGGCAGATAGTATTGGGCAGACAGACCAGTTTGTAATCGGGATCAATGAATTATATTTTCACATATACTTGTTGCACATGCAAGTGAATGCGTATATGGATGTATTCTTCAATATCAAAGAATCGTTTATTTTTATTTTTATTAGGCTTACTTGCATCTATCTATACATTTATACGTGCATATACATATATATGAATATACGTATGTGTGCATATAAATCAAATCTCAAATGTGTAAAAAGAATCAGAGTGAAACTCATTTTCAATACTTGATAGACAAGATCGATTCTCCTTACATATCATGCACATAGACAAGTACACATACACAAACATACACAATGAAAGAAAATATTTAGTAAATCGAATGATTTTGATGCGTATTTTACGCTTGATAGAAATCACGTTTCGCTACACGTAAAGAAAGAAAAGTAATGAAAGAATGGTTGTGTGTTTGGGCACACACAATAGTACCATTATTTCAATAAAGACGATATATTTATAAGAGGCTAATGAAAAAAAAAAAAAAGTAGAAGGAAAAAGAAAAAGCATTGTTTAGCGTAGCCACAATGAAATTACATTCTAGTCAGCATTGACTGTATAGATTGAATTGGTCGGTTTGGTTAGTTACAATAAATAGATGGAAGCCATGAGGACTATAATGACGATCATGATAATCACGATGATGATGATGATGATGATGATGATCATAATGATTATATTACTGAGGATGATGGCGATGATGATGAGGATAGCGATGTATCACAAAATACATAATAAAGATCACCATTAATGATTGTATCGCATGGCAAGAGAGCGTAAGTACATTATTTTGATTTTGATTGCGCTATCGACAAGCATTCTCGATGTGTACAATAATAATAATAACAAAACGAAATGTAGACGTTTATAAAGTAACAGTCAGAAATAACAATGCAATGCAATATAGAATCCACGCGCGCGCACACGCATACACACACACACACACACACACATAACACTTACATAAACCACTCTGTCAGATTGGCAGGTACAGGTCGCATGGATCGCACTAACTCAAAATTGTTAAGTTTGGGTTTTTTTTTCTTTCCATTTCTTCTTCTTTACTAAGCATTATACAGAATACATCATCGTCATCGTAATGATCATCATTATCAGACGCAATACAAAACATTAGGGCCAGTCGTAGTTGTTGTTAAAGTCTTAAATCATACAAATGTGTGTGTCTGTGTGTGTGTGTGTGTGTGTGTGTGTGTATGTGTTATACCCGAACAAATCGCAGTGAAAACAGCTAAAGGCATTAAATACGGAAGTAATCGATATTGAATCGTGCTCTGGCCAAGTTATATTTCTCATGGTGCAACAGTAAGCTGCCCTTGTTCTTGTCGTTAGTGTTGTTGCTGTTGCTGTTGCTTTTGTTATATTGCTGTATACAAACACTTAACTTTTGCAGATGGAAGCATTTTTGTGGTATTGGCACGTCGTCAGATTCGATGATAAACTTACGACTACAGGCGTGCGGTTAAAATGTGCACAGCATTAAATTTTGCAATTTTAGAAATTTGAGTTAAAATCGAATTTCAATTAATAATTATTGCACACAGTAACTGTGACAGTGTCTTTGACTCCCTAGCTGGGAATGTAAATTTATTAGGTCGCTTAGTTCAAATGTAGCCTACAGCTGTTTTCTCAATTTTCACAGTGTATTTAAATTAATTATCTATTACTTAAAGTTGTTTAGAGTCGCTTAGAGTAGTAAAGAGATCTCAAGTTTATTTTTGGCTGTGACTTTCGTTGAAACTGAAATAAGTAAAGGATGCTTCGATATTTATTGTAGGGCGAAGCGTAGACAGGTAATAAAGTCGATGCAAAGACCCTAAAATCTCATTAACTATTTTTAGCTTTGATCGGCAGAAATAGTGAGGACGCTGTAATTACGCATCTCTCTCTGTCCGCCTATCATGACAAGGGCGCATAGACAAGAGCATAAACTGCTTATAAAGCACATATAGCAAAATCGGCCTATATTTTATCACATCTGTTTGATTTTCCGCTTGTTGATTTGTTGAGGTACGGCTCTCAAAACAAGCAACCGAAATATCGTCTTTAGTTGATTACCCATTTGAAATAGTGATTAACACGTTTAGAAAGAGAACTTGGAGGCATCGCAGAGCGCTGACTGCCTATCGGTTCTCTTATTGAAATTACGATTAACGTTTGCCGCACAAGTCTTGGGACTCTTTATAGGCTTGGTCAGGGTAACTAGGAAAGAACTTGTCTAACAAATATTTTTGCTTAAGCCAGGCACTCACTAAGCTGCCGCCATCGCGTAACTCTTTCTCTTTTCTCACTTCTTTCTGATCGTCATGGTGTTACACTTATACATATTCTGATCATTTATACGATAAACAGGTCATAAATCTACGTATTCTACGTTCTGGGAAAAGTTAAAGGAAGGTAGCGTGTTTGGACAAAGGCATTGTCGGTTACGTATGCCTGCTAGGATTATGCCGCACGTGAAATGGGGTTACCAAAACTTTAGTTTTCCATTACTAGGATATGCTTATAGCAAAGACATAAATTCTAGCGCTAGCAACCAGGAGTATCTCCTCTTTTCTTTATGTATTCAAGAAGATTGCAGACAGCAAGTAACAATTTTTTCTCTATTCCTAGCATTTTCGCCTGACAGTTTACGTACATTTTTTCAAGGAAGGCTTAGATAGTGCTGGTCGTACCCATATGCATATAACGAAAGGCCGACTACCTCCATCTCTTAAAACATCGTGAGCTCAATCGTAGAGCTACAATTTGCTTTTTCCGAAAATTGATTATTGAACAAATGCATAGGTGCTGCAAGTAACTGTAAGGTGACTTAAGTACGCAGCACTAAGCTTCACAAATGCAGAAAGTGTTATAAATTTATTTCATTTTAGAATCTCATAAAGAGTGATAAGTAATGTTGTAACATAATAACTGTGCTTTTACACTTTATTAGAACTTGTTTCCCGTCTTCGACATCGAATTGCAAAATTTCAACTTTAATGAATTTTCCTTTTTTTTCTTTCATTAGTTTTGATGACGATAATTAAGCATAGGCCATACATAAACTTTATCACATTGCAGCACTAATTAGAAATTCACACAATTCTTGAAATGTTACGAGATACGCGAAATGTTAATAACCACTACTTAAGTCATGCATTTCTTTTGCTCCATTTGTCGTTTCTTAATATACAACTTTCATTATATTTCTTGGCATGCGAGTGCACACGTATCACACATATGTACATATATGAAAAATTCATTCCAATTTTATTTGAAATACTTATTGATAAATATTTCCGGTGAAAAGATGAACATGTTTTTGCTTCTTTTGCTTTTTTTTCCAATTTACTAGAAATTGATTAAAGCGCTTAATCGACAATAAAAGAGAATTTTACTGTTTTACTCTTAGTAGTATTCGTTATTACATACCTATGCGTGTGTGCATTATGTCCAGTGACGAACATGAAATATTTTAATATGAAATCTTTTTTTTTTTTTTTGTAAATGTTTGAATAAATCGTTGGATT